TTCTGAATAGTTTGAGAAGAATTGGAGTTAGTTCTTCTTTAAACATCTGGTAGAATTCAGCAGTGAATCCATCTGGTCCTGGGCTTTTCTTTGTTGGGAGGGCCTTTATTACTGTTTCAATTTCTGTCTCAGTTATGGGTCTGTTTAGGTTTTCGATGTCTTCCTGGTTCAATTTAGGTAGGTTGCATGTGTCCAGGAATCTATCCATTTCTGATAGGTTTCCCTGTTTGCTGGCATACAAGTCCTTGTAGTAATTTCTGATGATTCTTTTTATTTCTGTGGTGTCTGTTGTTACATTTCCTTTTTCATCTCTGATTTTATTAATTTGGGTCTTTTCTCTTCTTTTTTTAGTTAGTTGGGCCAATGGGGTGTCAATTTTGTTTATTTTTTCAAAAAACCAGCTCCTCGTTTGGCTGATTTTTTGTAATGTTTTTCTTGATTCAATCCTGTTGATTTCTTCTCTGATTTTAATTATTTCTCTTCTCCTACTAGATTTGGGTCTGGTTTGCTGTAGGTTTTCTAGATCCTTGAGGTGAATTGAAAGCTCATCTATTTGGTGCCTTTCCAATTTCTTGATGTAGGCACCTATTGATATAAACTTTCCTCTTAACACTGCTTTTGCTGCGTCCCATAAGTTTTGGTATGTTGTGCTGTTATCCTCATTTACTTCCAGAAATTTTTGATTTCTCTTTTGATTTCTTCTATAACCCATTGTTCATTCAGGAGCATGTTGTTCAATCTCCATGTGTTTGCATATGCTCTAGGGATTCCTGAGTTGCTAATTTCCAACTTCATTCCTTTATGGTCTGAGAAGCTGCATGGTATGATTCTAATTCTTTTGAATTTGCTGAGACTTGCTTTATGGCCTAGTATGTGGTCAATCCTAGAGAAGGTTCCATGTACTGCTGAGAAGAATGTAAAGTCTTTAGCTGTAGGATTGAAAGTTCTGTATATATCTGTTAGATCCATTTGGGCTATAGTGTCATTTAAATCTACTGTATCCTTGTTGATCTTCTGTCCTATTGATCTGTCTATTTCTGAGAGTGGAGTATTGAAGTCCCCCAGTACTATTGTATTGGGGTCTAAGTCTCCCTTTAAGTCCGTTAACAAGTCTTTTAGATAAACTGGTGCCCTGTAGTTAGGTGCATATACATTGATAATTGTTATATCTTCCTGTTGAATTGATCCCTTAATCATTATGTAGTGTCCCTCTTTGTCTCTCTTAACGGTTTTTGTGGTAAAGTTTATGTTGTCTGAAATTAAGATGGCTACGCCTGCTCTTTTTTCATTTCTGTTGGCATGGTATATCTTTTTCCAGCCTTTCACTTTCAGTCTGTATGGATCCTTGTTGGAAAGATGAGTTTCTTGTAAGCAGCAAATAGATGGGTTTTGTTCCGTAACCCAATCAGCCAATCGGTGTCTTTTAACTGGACAGTTCAGGCCATTCATGTTCAATGTGACTAATGATAAGTGGTAACTTTGCCCTGCCATTTGCCAAAGATAAGTTCTAATATATGCTTTGAATTCCCTGTGATCTTTTGCTGTGAGCTTTCCTTCCTTGGTTTCCTTCCTTTACCTTCTTTCATATTGATGACCGTGTTTCTTTGTTTCTGTGTGTAACACATCTTTAAGCATCTTTTGCAGGGCTGGACGAGTGGCAACAAATTCTTTCAATTTCTGTTTGCTATGAAAAGTCTTTATTTCACCTTCATTCACAAATGATAGCTTTGCAGGATATAATATTCTGGGCTGGCAGTTTTTCTCTCTTAGTACCTGGGCTATATCTCGCCATTCCCTTCTAGCTTGTAGAGTTTCTGATGAGAAGTCAGCTGTGAGTCTGATTGGAGATCCTCTGAGAGTAATCTGACGTTTCTCTCTTGCACATTTTAGGATCTTTTCTTTATGTTTCACTGTGGAGAGTTTAATTATAACATGTCGTGGTGAGGGTCTCTTTTGGTCGTGTTTATTAGGGGTTCTGTGAGCTTCCTGTACTAGGATTTCTCTGTCCTTCTCCAAACCTGGGAAATTCTCTGCTAATATCTCACTAAAAAGGCCTTCTAATCCTTTCTCCCTCTCCATGCCTTCAGGAACTCCTAGAACCCGAATGTTGGGTTTTTTAATAGTATCCTGAAGATTCCCGACAATATGTTTTAGATTCCTAATTTCTTCTTCTTTTCTTTGGTCTGACTGTATCCTTTCCTGTTCTCTGTCTTCTAAGTCTGATATTCTCTCTTCTGCTTCACCCATTCTGTTTGTAAGGCTCTCTATTGTGTTTTTCATTTGATCTATTGAATTCTTCACTTCAGTCACTATCCCAGTTTCCTTTTGTACTAGTTGTTTCGTTTCATTTTGATTCCTCCTTAATATTTCATTTTCACGAGAGAGATTTTCTATCTTGTCCATTAAGGCTTTATGTAGTTCAAGAATTTGTTTTTGAGAACTTCTTAATGTTCTTATCAATTTTTTGAGATCTGCTTCTTGCATTTCTTCTATATCATCATCCTCATAATCTTGAATTGGGGTGTCTTTTTCATTTGAGGGCTTCATGGTGACTTCCTTGTTTTTATTACCTTGGTTTTTGCGTTTGTTATTTGGCATATTGGAGATATTTGGTTTCTTCACTGTGGTGCTTTTTCTTGTTATACTATGACTCTAGATTAAGTGGACTATCTGTTTTTGATGGAGCCTTAGGGCTTGAGATGGGTGTGGCCTGAGAGCTCTGTTTGGTGTGCCAAAGGTGACACTCCCAGGTTAGGCGTGGTAAACCTCTCTCTCTCTCTCTCTCTCTTTTTTTTTTGATTCAAAAGGGAAGTTATTCTGCACAGCTGAACGAAGTTGGAGGTAGTTAGCAGGCAAATGATATACCCACAGGAACCAGAGATCAGAAGCTCTTTCCCAAGGACCACACAGGGAATCTCTTCGGCCCTCAGAGTGGGCTCAAATTCTCCTTCAGTCTCCCACTGGGTTGCCAAAGTTACGGAATTGTAGCGTCTCTGGAGAGTGCTCACGTGAATTCTGTGAGTTCTCTCCCCCACCGTCTCTTTTTTCACAGTCTCAGTTCAGTAGCACCACAAATTTACTAGGTCCTAATCTCCTGTTAATTTGCCCCGCCCAGAGTCAGGTTTTTCTGCTAGGCTCAGGGCCGATGCAGACCTGAGGTCGCTCTGCTTATGACGTATGTCCAAGATGGCGCCTGCTCTTTGTCTTGCTCGCCCTTGAGAGGTCAGCGGAGAGAGAGAAACCCGTGTCCGTACCAGTCACCTCTCTCTCTCTTCCAGTTAGCCTGGTGAAGTCCCCCCCCCCGGGGGGTCGTTCCCTCTAGTCTCCTCTCTCCGCTTGCCTGCCGGTGTCTCGGGCTATTGAGGTTCGGCTCACCTCGCGTTCCAGTGGCTTGGTCCCGCAGCTCGGCTTGCGCAGCTCGGTCCCGCGGCTCGGCTTCCGCGGCTCGGTCCCGCGGCTCGGCTTCCGCGCGGTGGGCGACCTTGTTCTCCCAGTAGGTCCTCCGATTCACGACCACTCAATCCCGAAGGGTTTCCTCTCGTGTTCCAGTGGCTCGGTCCCGTGGCTCGGCTTGCGCAGCTCGGTCCCGCGGCTCGGCTTCTGCGGCTCGGTCCCGCAGCTCGGCTTCCGCGTGGTGGGCGACCTTGTTCTCCCAGTAGGTCCTCCGATTCACTACCACTCAATCCAGAAGGGTTTCCTCTGCAATATTATCCTGGTTCTTTTTTCTGAGGCTACCGTAACTCCCCTTTTATTAAACTAAATTTTCCCGGACTATCGGTGCGCGCCCTTACTATTCTGCCATCTTGGCTCCGCCCCTATTATATGATTTTCATCCAATAAAATAACAAATTAAGAATCCACTAGAGTTTAACAGATCTTCTTAAAATATTTGACTTGTTTTCCTCAAATTCATGATTTAATATTTTAATACAGCTATTTAATCATTTCTAAAGAGCATTAAAAATGGGTTGCCACTTTCTTAGTCTACTTGCAACTTAATTCCTGTTAAAATTTCAGAACCACTTTTGTTCTGATCCCAGACATCTTGTTGACTATGAGTCTATTAGTAAGCAATCCTGTTATTTTAGTGTGGGATTTATCTTCTTATTCTTGTCACCAGTAATGAAGAGAAAAGCAGATTGGTATATTCTTCATTCAAAAACAGCTATTTTTAAAAAAGATTTATTTACAGAGAGAGAAGGAGAAACAGAGGGAGACAGAGAGAGTGATCTTCCATTCACTGATTCACTCCCCAAATGGCCTCAATGACTGGCGCTGGGGCAGGCCAAAGCCAGGAGCCTAGAACTCTCTCTGGGTCTCCCACATGGGTGGCGGGGCCCAAAGTACATGGACCATCCTCGGCTGCTTTCCCAGGCACAGTAGCAGAGAACTGGATCAGAAATGGAGCAGCCCATGGACACAAACCAGTGTCCAGACGGGATGCTGGCATTGCAGGCAGCAACATGACTACTGCCAGGGAGAGGCTCCTGCTGACCCTGGCCAGCCCGGCAGTCACATGCAAATGAGTTCTTATTATCTGTGACAGTAATATAAGCAAACCAAGAAACCACATCTAGAAAAAGAAAACAGATTCACGTATTAATAATATTTATCTTTGGATGGAAAGACTATGCTGGCTTTTTTCTGCTCCTTTTTGTTTTTCTGTAATTTCCAGACTTTATCTAGCAAAGACTTTCATACTAATGAAATCAAAAGCTTTAGTTTTGAAATTTATGACAAATAAAAATGGGTAGTAAAATAGTATATATGCCCCAGTCAGTTGTCTATTTTGTTTGTTTACAACGAACATCCCAAGATATGCATTGCAGAAGCGAGAGAAGGTTAGTTCTGACTCTGGGGTACATTTCAGAAGAAATACTCATTTTTCCCACATCAAGGTATTACCAGCTGAGTGCTGCTAGGAAAGGAAACTGATGAAGCTTCACTCCTCTGGACCACAAAGCACTCCTCGGGTGAAGGCCTGGGGGCTTGCCACTGACCTTTCTCGGAAAAGGAGCTGATCCTGGGGGCTGGGAGTTCTGGAATGCTGGGAGGTGGCAAATGACTCCCGGTAGCAGTCAGCATCCCCTTGGTTCCTGGGTGAGCGCTTTCCAAACTTACTGGAGTCTAAAGGTGATGGTGATCTTCTCCTTAGAATAATCCGTTCATCTGGCTCTTTGATAACCTAAGTGACAGTTATGCATTATTCTTTAGCTGTGGTATTGCTTTTTTGGTTTTGTTTAATTTAGAGCTGGGGTAGGGTGGGGATAAGATGATAGAATATATGCCCAGAGATCTTCAAATCAAAGAAGGGCTGGACTAGAGACTATTAAACACAAATGCTCAGGAATCAAAGTCAAGGGGAAAATAACAAAGTCCATACATCTGCAAAATAAACTCATGGTTTGAACTTTGATTTCTGAGGGTTGGAGATGACTGGGCCTAGAACAGATAAAATTTTTAACAAAATATTTAAATTATATGCCACAAGAAGCATAGTATGCTTAATTCTCTTTACATGCATCTATTCTCATATAGTAACAGACTTTTGACCCTTCACTTTGACAAACCAATCAAACTTGGAGAACAAGTTATTTACCACTTCTACATTTACAGATATTCGATTACAGAAAAAGCATTGAATATCACTATTTTTTTTTATTTGACAGGCAGAGTTAGACAGAGAGAGAGAGAGACAGAGAGAAAGGTCTTCCTTTTCCGTTGGTTCATTCCCTCAATGGCGCGCTGTGCCGATCCGAAGCCAGGAGCCAGGTGCCTCCTCCTGGTCTCCCATGCACTTGGGCCATCCTCCACTGCCCTCCTGGGCCACAGCAGAGAGGAGGAGCAACCTGGACTAGAACCCGGCACCCATATTGGATGCCGGCGCTGCAGGCGGAGGATTAACCAAGCGAGCCATGGTGCTGGCCTGAATATTACTACTGATAAAACAGGTATTGGGCCTACAAACACCCTCCTTGGCAATTCACCTTACAAATGAAAAGAGCTTTACAGTAGAGGAGCAGACCAGTGAAACCCAAAGTAATAGTGGAGCCTGAGCACCCCTTTGCATAAACTCTAATTAAACTGAAGCACTAGCTATACACATATATTTCCCACTGCCAATTGGAGAAGGCACAATACATGACTTAAGATAGCTGGAAATAAATCATTTTACAAATGCTACTTCTAAAATTACCTTTACGTTAGCTGCAAGGCTGCCAAGAGAAGAAGCTAGAAGAAAGAGGAACAGATGTTTCAATGACTCATTAATACCAGTTAGCCCTAGAACTGCTGTTACAATTATTCCACAGCAGTACAAAAATTTCAAGCATTAAAAACTTAAATGCTCCCTTATAAATTATACTGTCATTTTTAAGTCTCCCTGGGGTCACAGAAATTCTGTCTTTGAGTTTTTCTGTCCTCTTGTCATCAACAATGAGGTTATGTTTAATGACAGCACACATGAAAAGGAGGAGAGTAAAAGCAAGTCCAAAGTGAAGCAACAAGTTCAATAACTCATAAACAGCTTGCAAAACTCATATTTGCCCAGGTTCCCAGAGCCTATGTGGATCTAATACAAGTTGAGTACCCCCTATCCAAAATTCTTGGGACAAGAAGTATTTCAGATTTTAGATTCTGTTGCATTTTAGAATATCTGCATATATATAATGTGATATCTTGGGGATGAGATTCAAGTCTAAGCATGAAATTCATTTATGTTTCATATATACCTTTTACACATAGCCTGAAGGTAATTTTGCGCAATATTTTTAGTGTACTTGCATTTTGACTGTGAGCTGCCACATGACAGGTGTGGAATTTTCCACTTGTGACATCTGTTGATGTTCAAAAATTTTCAGATTTTGGATTAGAGATGCTCAATCTTCATAAAATTCCTACACTTTGCCTCCTCTGCCATTCTCTTTGGTTTTTGTGGAATCCTAGTTATGCAGAATCTCTTACATATATTTGCCCAAGGGAGACATAAATGTTAAATTGAGACACTGAATACATAAGAGCTTAGAGAAACCAAACATGGCAAAAGTCGAAATCATTTTCTAAATAATCATAAAATGACAGATCAAATGACAGAATGAGAAGGATGACTACAAAGTGAAGTAGTAATTACACACAGAGGAAATCATTATTAAATTTGATTTTTCCAGGTTAGAAAAAAATCTTTTTGAAATGAGTAACTTGGAAGGCTTCCCCCAGTGTGAATGGCACTTACACAGTGACAAGGGATTTTTCCTTGACTGCTGATTCCCCCATACCACTGGCAGTAAAAAGGAAGACACAAAAAGGGACTTAAAGCCTGGTAATTTTCATATCCTCTGGACCCATACATATGCAGGCGTCTGTCTTGTCCAAGCTGCCCTCATCAATCCCAACCCAAGCTGGACAGAGAAGCAGCAACACTATATATATTTTCAGCGATAGCCACAAGTCTGGTCTGTGGCCTAGCAAGCCCTTGCTTGCAACATTCGCCTTCCCAGGGACTTGCCTTTGCTCCTAGCTTCTCAAAGTGTAAGCCATGGACCAGCAGCACCAGCATCACCTGGAAATTTATAAGAAAAGGAGGATCCCACCCCAGCCCAGCCCTACTGAATCAGAATCTGCAGTGTCACAAGATCCCCAGGTGATTCAAATGTGTGTTCAAGTTGGAGAAGCATTGGTTTATTCTACCTTAGGCCTGGATGAGTGAGCTGACCTGTGACCTAAGCAAAGGTCTGGTTTGAAAGCTACAGAGATTCCAAGGATCTGAGCCCAGAGGTCTGAACGTCTTCTCTAAAAGTAGGTATGCCAAAAATGTGGTGTGTGACCTCTACACACATTGTAACCTCTCTGGAACCTTAGTTCTCCACCTGGCAGGGTTAAGAAAAGACAGAGGCCAATGTGCTGTATGAGTTTCTTCATACTCAAGCCAGCATTAAGCCCAACTTGTCCTCCCCAAGAAAGAACACTGACTGTTGTTTCATTTCCCTATAATAGTAAAGCAAGTGGTGCTCTATAGGCTTCGTGATTTTCAATTCAAAGAACTTAAATTAAATGGCAGAAGTGATGAAGCACTTTTGGCTTCAAACTTTATTCTATGTCCTTGGTCAGCTGCAGTCAAACAGTACTGGCTTGAGTTGTCACAAGAGACACTGCAGCCCCTTAAAAGTATAAATCTTTAAATCTCTGATAGGGAACTTATTGTAAGGGGTGGCACAACTCTAGTCCTACCAGGACACAAGGGAATGGGTCACCATCAATCCTTTCTAGCCAGGACACATGGGAATGTGTTACCACTAACCTTTTCTAACCTAAGAGGGTTTTGTTCCCCCAAAGAAACCTTTTATTTAATGAGTACAAATTTTATAAGTACAACTTTAGGAATAGAGTGATTCTTCCTACCTTACCTGCCCTGCCACCCCACCTCCTCCTCCCTCTCCCATACCCAGTCCCATTCTCCATTAAGATCATTTTCAATTACCTTTATACACATAAGAACAACTCTATACTAAGTAAAGATTTCAACAATCTGCACACACATGCATAAAAAAAACTGTTTGAGAACAAGTTTTACAGTTAATTCTTATAATACAACTCATTGAGGACAGAAGTCCTGCATGGGAAGTGCACAATGACTCCTGCTGTTAATTTAACAATTAAGACTCTTATGTATGACATCAGTGATCACCAGAGGCTCTTGACATGGAAGCCTTTGGAATCCACAGGCTCCATCAGTATTTAGACAAGACCATAAGCAAAGTGGAAGTTCTCTCCTCCCTTCAGAGAAAAGCACACCCTTCTTTGATGGCCAATTCTTTCTACTGGGGTCTCTCTCACAGAGATCCTTCATGTGGGACATTTTTTTTTACCATAGTGTCTTTGGCTTTTCATGCCTGAAATGCTCTCATGGACTTTTCAGCCAGACCAGAATGCTTTAAGGGCTGATTCTGAGGTCAGAGTGATTTTTTTTAATATTTACTTATTTATTTATTTGCAAGTCAGAGTTACACAGACAGAGAAGAAGAGACAGAGAGAGAGAGAGAGGTCTTCCATCTGCTGGTTTACTCCCCAGTTGGCCACAATGGCCAGAATTGCGCCAATCTGATGCCAGGAGCCAGGAGCTTCTTACGGATCTCCCATGTGGGTGCAGGGGCCCAAGAACTTGGGCCATTTTCTACTGCTTTCCCAGGCCATAGCAGAGAGCTGGATCAGAAGTGGAGCAGCCAGGACTTGAACCGGTGCACATATTGGATACCAGCACTGCAGGTGGCGGCTTTACCTACTAAGCCACAGCGCCAGTCCCCAGAGTGCTATGTAAAGCAGTTGTCATTCTATAAGTCTGCTGTGTGGACTGCTTCCCACGTTGGAACATTCTCTCCTTTTTAATTCTATCTATTATTATTACCAGATACTTGATTTTATTTATATGATCCCTTTAACACTTAATCCTATCCATATGATTTTTTTTTTTTTTTTTTTTTTGGCAGGGAGAGTTAGACAGTGAGAGAAAGAGAGACGGAGAAAAAGGTCTTCCTTTTCCATTGGTTCACCCCCCAAATGGCTGCCACGGCCAGCACGCTGCACTGATCTGAAGCCAGGAGCCAGGAGCTTCCTCCTGGTCTCCCATGCAGGTGCAGGGCCCAAGCACCTGGGCCATCCTCCACTGCACTCCCAGGCCACAGCAGAGAGCTGGACTGGAAGAGGAGCAACCGGGACAGAATCCGGCACCCCAACCGGAACTAGAACCTGGTGTGCCGGCACCACAGGCAGAGGACTAGCCAAGTGAGCCGCGTCACCGGTCCATATGATCAATTTAACACTTAACATGGTCACTTTAACACTTAAGATGGCATTTTTACCACTCAGCTTAATGGGATTTGGGCTCCGATGGCAAATTTTTAAACTGTACTCTTAGAAGTAAGTCCATAGGAATGTATGTAGAACTATACCGCTTTACAGTTACAAACTTCTTCCTTCTCTTATCCCCACTCCTATTTTTTACTGAGAACTATTTTCAATTGACTTTATACACATGATTAACTCTATGTTGAGTACAGTAAACAGTATGAAGAAGAGAAAAAAAAAAACTTCCTCAACAGTCAAGACAAGAGCTGTTCAAGTCATTCAAGTCATTGTTTCTTAAAGTATCAATTTCACTTCTACAGATTACCTTTTAGATACTCTATTAGTTATCATAGATCAGGGAGAATATATGGTATTTGTCCCTTTGAGACTGGTTTATATCACTAAGTACGATGTTTTCCAGATTAGCCCAAGAGTTTTAAAGAAGTGCATGAATGCCTGAACTTCACTGCCATGACCTTAGCTATTGATATGGTTCATATAATTTTCAGTCATAAGGTAAATACTTCCAAAGGAGACTGTAACCTAGTAATTCTTAACATGTGGTCCTAGGACCTCCCCAGGACCCTAAGATCTTTTAGGAGATCTGCAAGGTCACACAGTTTCCATAATGAAACTAAAACATGATTTGCCTTTTGCACTCTCATTCTCTCGTGACTGTACAAGGAAGTTTACCAAAAACTACAATAACATGTCATAACCCGACCATTCTGATGGCTAATAGAATATGTGCTAGTGGTGTTTTTTTTTTCATTTTTAAATTTTTAATTTAGACAATCTCCATATCAACAAAAGTTCTTTGGGGTTCTCAGTAATATATAAGAATGAAACTTCTTTAAAAGCTTGAAACCCCCCACCTTAACCTAACTGCTTCAAATAAAGCTGGCTCCCCTCCTTGCTGACACAGAATCTGATAAGTCAAATGTTACTGTCTCCTAATATCCATTAATCTCCTGCTCTTTCCCAACCACAGCTCATGTCAAGAGCCTCTGGTGGTTGGGTTTGTTAGCTGTCAGTGGTGCCTTTGCAAAGAGTTCACACCAGGACAAGCTGCTCTCTACTTTGCCAAGCCAGCTAGGAACCAGTGCAATGTCTGATTAGCAATACTACTCAGAACAATCTGTACTACAGGAGTTCTCAAAAGAACACCTTTGCAGCTGACTCTGCTCCAAGGGAACATGGCCTTGGAAATCTCCACAGCTGGAGGGTACTTAAGAAGCAGCCTCACAGTTTCCAAAGTAACCCATGATTCCTCAGAATGAAAGAAAAGTAGGACATGTTGGTTTCCATATTATCTATACAGGAGTAACAAGAAACTCAAGTACCTCTTCTCATTGGAAATGGAAAATTTGAAAACTCAGCTTTTCTTCTAGATTTCCGTGAATAATGCTCTGAATTATTCTCACCAAAGGGTTTTGCACTGTCCACCTGAAAAATAAAGAAATAAGACTTTAATCCATTGTAGTTTGTATTATCCTTTCCTTGTTACCCATAATGCCTTTCTCCCCTGAAATTACCTGTTCTACAGGTTAGAAAAGGGAAGGTTAGTAAACAACCTAAACTCAGCCTCTGAGTACATGACATGTTATATGATTTAGGAGAAACTATGGACCATGTTAACCGAGTCTAGAACACAAGAATATGAGCTAAACATTAACATAAGGAACCAAAGTGGACACAAATCATATTTTGACAATTTGCAAGGACTGAACTCTAAAAGAGAACAAGTGAAGCATTATTTTGGAATCTTTTCAATCAGAATAGTTTCACATTCCTGCACAGCAGAAGCTGTGCTGGCCCAGGCACAGCCCTTCCTCATAGCAGGGAATGGCCACCAGGAGACACTGCAGTCTTCCACTTTCCCTTCCACTCCATGTCCACATTCTTGAAAAAAGAATAGTATTAACTCCAGATTTTTCTAAAGAAAAGTTGGGTGACATTATCTACAAACACGTCAAAACATCTGAAATAGAGATTCATCCAAAATATGTACAACACAAAGTTGCTGGATTTTTTTACCTTACTTATTTCTGTTATTTTTTTTCATTTTAATAAGAGGTTATAATACTACATTTCATTCTACTTCAAGAAATATGCAGATTGCAATCTACAGTCTTGGCTACATCACACCTCTCAATTCTATTTCTTCCACTTAAGGAAACATCAACTAGCATCAGAAAATCTGGCTAAATAAAAAAGTTAATATATAAAATCACTTATAAAAGAACTTGGCACACTGAAATAGCTGTTTAAGCAAGTATTAAATAAAATAATATAAGAAATTTCCTTCAAAAATCTAACAAGATTTTAAAGGTTACTTAGTCCATAAGGTTTGGACTAAAGTTGTATTTTACAAAAATGTACACACAGAATGAAATAAATACACTGTTCAGCAAAATCAAATTAACAGTATTTTTATGAGCCATATTTAGAGACTGTTATATTTTTGCCAATTAGCTTTAACCAAGCCACCAAGAAGAAAACAGCTGTTCTGTATCTGTAGATGGAATTACCTATAGACAGATAGCAGTTCTGCAGTTTCCAAACAACTCTGTTCTACCTACAGATCAGATCTGTACTGTCACCTCATCAGCACCTTGACTTTGAGACTTTATACCAGACATTTCATAGCCTGTGTCAAACATACAAACATCATCACTGTCACTGTAAGCCAAAATACCAACTTAATGACACTATCAATAGTTAACAATCTGGAGAATGAAACATCACCAAGAACAAAAAATGGTATTCATAAAGAGTATGAAATGATACAGACAAAAAATGCTTTCAATATAATGTTAACTGAAATGCACTGGAAAGCCAGTCAACTTGATGGAAAAAATAAAGCTTGTGAATATTTTTTTTAAAAAGATGACAAAATACCTCAAATTAATGACTTTCTGCTGGTGAGAATATGGACAATTTTTTCTTGAACTTTTCCATATTTCCCATTACTTTTATAGCACAGTAGTAAAAGAAATTTTAAGAAAACTCAAAGGACTAGACTGAGTTGATTTTTTAAAACTTTGAGAGGGAGAGAGAGAGACAGAGATACAGCCCCCATCTGCTGGTTCACTCCCCAGATGCCCTCAACAACTGGGATCTCGCTGAGGGCCAATGCTGGGAGCCAGAAATACAATCCAGGTCTCCCACATGGGTAGCAGGAATCCAATTATTCAAGTCATCACCACTGTCATACAGGGCCTGCATTGGTAGGAAGCTGAAGTGAGGAGCTAGAGCCAGGAATAGAACCCAGGCACATCCATATTGGACACAGATGTCTTAAAATGACACCTTTTTTAAATATTCAGTTATTTATTTGAAAGGCAGTTACAGAGAGTGAGAAGCAGAGTCGGGGTTGGGGGGAGGGGATCTTCTATCTTCTGGTTCACTTCCTGTCGCTCCCCCTCTTCGCGGAGGAACGACACAGGACCCTGCGCTGTTCTTTTGTCTGCTTGGCCCTTCCCGGGTTTGCTGCTGGTTCTTCCTGGGTTGGCTACCATCCCTTCCACCTCCGTGGAAGGGCGGTTCCCCCTGCCACTTTCCCCACTTCCGCAGGGAAGCGGCACACCGCCGGCCGGCTCTCTCGGGGGCTGCTCAGGTGTTCCTTCAGATAGATGTTCTGGTGCATGTTGTCTCTCTCCTCCTTTATAGTCCTCTTCCACCAATCCCAACTCTGCTACCCACACGCCGAGCACGCTGCTCTCCTGCAATCAGGAGCAAGATCAGCTCCTGCAGCTCAGTCAATCAAATTGGCGAGAGGCAGCTGCGTAGAAGCTGTTTACTCCTCTCCCAGCGCCATACTGTGGGAGAGCAGATGCATAGAATAAGTCTTAATTTGAGTAACTTAGTCTAGTCCAAGTTGCTCCCCACAACTTCCCAAATGAACTCAACAGCCAGGGCTAGGCCAGGCCAAAATGAGCCTTTTTGTTGTTGTTGTTATATAGTTTTTTTTTTATTTAATAAATATGAATTTACAAAGTGCAACTTGTGTATTGTTGTGGCTTCCCCCCCCCCACAACCTCCCTCCCTCCCGTGGCCCTCCCCTCTCCCACTCCCTCTCCCATCCTGCCCTTCATCGAGTTTCATTTTCAATTACCTTTATATACTGAAGATCAACTTAGTATATACTAAGCAAGGATTTCAACAGATTGTACTCACACAACCGCACAAGGTATAGGGTATTGTTCGACTAGTAGTGTTGTTTTTAAGTTTCATAGTAAAACACATTAAGGACAGAGATCCTATGTGGGGAGCATGTACCCAGTGACTCCCGTTGTTTAATTAACAATTGGCACTCTTATTTTTGACGTCAGCAATCACCCAAGAGTCTTGCTATGAGATGTCTAGGCTATGGAAGCCCCTTGAGTTCACCGACTCTGAACTTGTTTAGTCAAGGCCATATCACAGTGGAGGTTCCTTCCTCCCTTCAGAGAAAGGCGCCTCTCTCCTTGATGGCCTGTTCCTTCCGCTAGGTTCTTGTTCACCAGGATCTTTCATTTAGATTGTTTTTTGCCACCGTGTCATGGCTTTCCATGCCTGTGAGACTCTCATGGACCTTTTAGCCAGATCCGAATGTTCCAAGGGTTGATTCTGAGGCAGGAGTGCTGCCATTCTATGAGTCTGCTGTGTGTCCTGTTTCCCTGCAGGATCACTCTCTCCCTTTTAATTCTATCCTTCGTTATTTGCTTACACTGGTCTTATTTGTGAAATCTCATCAACACTTAACCTATCTTTTTGATCGGTTGTGTATTTATACTTATCACTTTACCAAGTGCGCTGGCATTGGTACCTGCCTCCTTGGTAAGACTGAATTGAAATCCCCTGTCAAATTTCTAGTTCCACCATTGGAGGTAAGTCCGAGTAAGCATGTGCCAACCTATATATCGCCTCCCTCTCTTATTCCCACTCCTATGTTTAACAGAGATCACTTTTCTGTTAATTTTAAATGCCTAAGAATATTGTGCATAGATTACAGAGTTCAACCAGTGGTCTTATGTAGAACAAACAGAGTAACAACAACAACAACAACAAAAATACTAAAAGGAATAAAATAGTAGGTTGTTCCTCAACAGTCAAGACAAGGGCTGATCATGTCATTGTCTCTCAGTGTCCATTTCACTTCAATGGGTATCATTTTAGATGCTTGTTTAGTTGCCATCGATCAGGGAGAACATATGATATTTGTCCCTTTTGGACTGGCTTATTTCATTCAGCATGATGTTTTCCAGCTTCCTCCATTTTGTTGTAAATGCCCGGATTTCATTGTTTTTTACTGCTGTATAGTGTTCCATAGAGTACATATCCCATAGTTTCTTTATCCAGTCATCAGTTGATGGACATTTAGGATGATTCCATGTGTTAGCTACTGTGAATTGAGCTGCAACAAATATTGAGGTGCAAATGGCTCTTTTTTCTGCCCTTTAATTCCATTTGGGTATATTCCAAGGGGTGGGATGGCTGGGTCCTGTGGTAGTGCTATATTCAGGTTTCTGAGGACTCTTCAAACTGTGTTCCATAGTGGCTTTACCAGTTTGCATTCCAACGAACAATGGATTAGTGTCCCTTTTTCCCCACATCCTCGCCAGCATCTGTTGTTGGTTGATTTCTGTATGTAAGCCAATCTAACCGGAGTGAGGTGAAACCTCATTGTGGTTTTGATCTGCATTTCCCTGATGGCTAGGGATCCTGAACATTTTTTCATGTGTCTGTTGGCCATTTGGATTTCCTATTTTGAAAAATGTCTGTTAAGGTCCTTGGCCCATTTTTTTATTGGGTTGTTTTGATTCTGTGGTGTTTTTTGATCATTGTGTAGATTCTAGTTGTTAATCCTTTATCTGTTGTGTGGTTTGTGAATAACGTCTCCCATTCTGTTGGTTGCCTCTTCGCTTTCCTGACTGTTTCCTTTGCTGTTAAGAAACTCTTCAATTTGAGGTAATCCCATTTGTTTATTTTATCTTTGATTACCCGTGCCTGTGGGGTCTTCTCCAGGAATTCTTCGCCTGTTCCAATATCTTGAAGGTTTTCCCCTATGCTCTCAATTAGTTTCATGGTGTCGTGGCGTGTCTCTAGTTCTTTGATCCATGTTGAGTGGATTTTTGTAAAAGGTGTAAGGTAGGGGTCTTGCTTCATACTTCGACATGAGGACATCCAGTTTAACCAGCACTATTTGTTGAAGAGGCTGTCCTTGTTCCAGAGGTTGGTTTTAGGTCCTTTGTCAAATATGAGTTGGTTATAGATGTTTGGATCGATCTCCGGTGTTTCTATTCTGTTCCATTGTTCTATCCATCTGTTTTTGTACCAGTACCAGGCTGTTTTGATTATAACTGCCCTGTAGTATGTCTTGAAGTCTGGAATTGTGATGCCTCTGGCTTTGTTTTTATTGTAAAGGATTGCTTTAGCTATTCTCGGTCTCCTGTTTCTCCATA